CCTCTGGCCTGCTCAAGGCAGCAGGCTCCCTGACGCCGGGCTCCCTCCCCCCTCCCACGCCCTGGGTGCACCCCCTACCACCCCCAGGACCCGATGCAAAAGAGGCCTCAGAGCCAGGGTGGCCAAGCCAGGGAATCCCAGTCCTGGGCCCAGAGTCTGGACCTGCACTTTACCCCCTGCTGTCAGTCAACCCCACTGCCCCACCAGAGCTGCCAGGGTGGCACAGGGCCCCGTCCAGCTTTCAGTAGACACCCTGCCCTGCCAGGCTTTAGCCTCTGTCCCAAGCCCCAGACACGCAGGCCCATCGGTTTTTCTCCGTGGGTTTGTATCTCAGCTCCAGGCCGCCTTGGGCCTCTATCTCCTAGACGAGACCCCCACTAGCTGAGTGCTAGCTGCCCAGGAGAGCGGGGGGCCTGGTCCTGGGCCCCTGCTCCACTCCCCTCCTAGCTGACTTACTGTGGCATTAAACCCAATGAGTCTTGCTGCGGGCATGGCAGAGTCATAGGCCAGTGGAGAGGTGGCAGGTCAGATGGGCAAGGCCCAGGACTTTCAGAATAAACTGAGAGGATGTTGGAGCCAAGCACGGCCGCCGGGGAAGGGGAAGGGCTCAGCTGGGAGTCAGGAGACCCAGGGTCTGGTCTGGGTGCTTGCTCTACAGGACAAGAAGGAGGCCTTCGCTGGCCCAGGACCTTTGTTTCTTTATCTACATATTGAAAGATTTGTAGATGAAGATTTGGTCCTGATGTCTTTTGAGGTGTTTTTCAGCTCTAAAGTTCTTTGAAATGTTTAGCCTGTGTCAGAACTCAGTTCATCAGTCCCTTGTACTCCTTGTGCCCCAGCCCCTGGCAATTTGTCTCAAGACGGAGATTTGAAAATAACTTTAGCTGAGGCCAACGGTGTCTGAAATGCCTCCTAGTTTAATTCTACAAGCTCCAGTTCCGGCCGTAACCTGTGTCTGTGGCCATCCTTGGGCTCACACAGCCCTGGGCCTTCTGGCAGGCAAGCCAGCCCCTCACCTGCTCTATAGCTTCGCCTTCTCTGCCCAGGGCTGAGAGGGGCCAGGGGCCAGCTTCCTGCAGGGCCTCAAGGCTCAGAAGAAATCTGGCTCCAGCCAGCAAGCCTGCAGCACCCAGGTTTCTGCTCCCCACTGGCCCCTGGCCCAGGCCCACACCCTTGGCCGGGCCCCAGAGAGTGTGTGCCTAGGAAGAACCTGGTGGCTGGAGAGAAACACATGGAAAGTTCGGCGTTTGGGAAGATCGAGGGTGTATATCCATGCGCTGAGGAGGTTACCCTGAATCCTAGGCGGGTAGATGGGCTGGAGGGTGATGCGGCTGGAGGTGGGGCCTGAGTGTTGGTGGGGAACAGAGCTCAGGCTAGGGACATGACAGCCCCAAGCTTGGGAAGACCTGGCCTCGCAGCCCTCAGCCTGGGACAGGGTGCAGAAGGACCCTCAGTTGTCCACAGGAGATTAAGGAGACACAGCCTCCTTCCCCTCCTGCTGGAAACGCCCCAGCACAGCCTCCCTGGCTGGCTTCTTGGCTTCTCGAGTGTTTCTTCCTTCCACCGTCAGAGAGGCACCTTCCCAGGCTGCCTCCCAGCATTGTGCAAGGCCCAGAGGAGAACCAGGAAGTGAAACTGGGTGAAACAGAAAGCTACATGGACCTGCCACGTTCCCACGTCGTCGTGGGGCACTCTGCTTGCCGGTAGTGTCACGTCTTCTGGTCACTGGAACCCACCTAGCCCAGGAATCAGGACACTCCTCAAGGGTTTTATCTCCACTGGATTTGGGGGTTAAAAGTCTCCTGAGACTCCACAACCAGAAACTGAAGGCAGCACCTCCCCAAAGGCTGGAAAATCCCTGAGAGGAGAAGGTCTGAGGCAAGAGGCGGAGCGATGGGGGAGGGTTGAGGGAAGGGGCGAGAGCTGGGAGGACAGCTGTGGCCAGGGAGAGAAGGAGGCATTGGTGAGAGCGGTCTGCATAATGCTTCTGAGTTCAGGACGGTGTTCCAAGGCCGAAATTACAGCCTCTTAACCTGGAGATACTGTTCGTGGGAGCATTTAGCTCGTGCTTAGCACATAGTAGGTCCTCGATAAAGCATGGCTGAAGGTCCGGAGCTCCTGCTGAGTCTTCGCAGGCCGGTGCGTCTGCAGTGGCCCATCGCAGAGGGAACCAGAGGGGACGGGGAAGGAGAGGGTCCCAGGGTATCCTGCCCGGGCTTTGCCCTTGAGAGACAAGTCACAGCTGGCGCAGGCCCTTGCTTGGAGCCAAATCTCAGTTCCCACCGCCGGCTGGGAGTAGCCTGCTCGCGGCGCCTCCGTATCGCCCTCTGCTGGCCGAAGGGCTACCCAGCGGCCGCCTCCCGCCGCGCCCCGCCCCGCCCCGCCCCGCCCCCCCCCCCGGCTCGCCTGCCTTGAGCTCCTCGCCCAGGAGCTCCCCACCCGGCGCCAGCGTGCGTGAGCTTCCCCATGCTTCTGTTCTGTAGGGACTGTCCCCCGAAAACCACATCTAGAAAGGAGCTGCGTCCTCACTCAGAGGCAGCTTGGACCCGCCCGCCTTGATTCCCTGTTCTCAATCCCCTTCTCAAATGGGGCCCCCGCCTTGCCTGGAGTCAGCCTTCATCCTCAGAATGAGAAGGGGACCCACCTTGGCGTCCCGGGCGGGCTCGGACAGCACCTTTCCCTCTCCCCCCGGGAAACTGAGGGCGGGGACATAGCATGGGGGAGGCAGGTACTGAAAGAAGACAAGAGGTGACTCTTCCATTTGACCGCCCAGCCTAGAAGATCTGTGCCTTTGCAGTAGAGGCCCCCTTAGGGAGCCACAGAAAGGGGTACCCTTGGTAAAAGGGTATCCCAATTCGAGTTACCACGAGGACCTGCCCTCCTCCCAGCAGCCCCCAAGGCGGCCTCAGGCCTGGAGCCGGCTAGGACTCTGGATGCCTATGTCCATGGACCTGCACAAGAGACAGTACCCTCCTTCCCAGAGGACCTCTTTTTTTTTTTTTTCTTGCGTTATGCGGGCCTCTCACTGTTGTGGCCTCTCCCATTTGCGGAGCACAGGCTCCGGACGCGCAGGCTCAGTGGCCATGGCTCACGGGCCCAGCCGCTCCGCGGCATGTGGGATCTTCCCGAAACGGGGCACGAACCCGCGTCTCCTGCATCGGCAGGCGGACTCTCAAGCACTGCGCCACCAGGGAAGCCCCCCAGAGGACCTCTTACACCAGCTTTGGGGAAATAAGAGCGTTCCTGGCATCCTGCAAAGGCAGCTTTTCCCTTCCTCCTGTGCCTGCCAGTCCCCGGTCCTTAAATCCCCACCCTGATGTCCACGTTATGGTTGGCGTGTGGGCAGAAGGTCCGTAGGAGGAGCTCCCCGAAACGGGGCACGAACCCGCGTCTCCTGCATCGGCAGGCGGACTCTCAAGCACTGCGCCACCAGGGAAGCCCCCCAGAGGACCTCTTACACCAGCTTTGGGGAAATAAGAGCGTTCCTGGCATCCTGCAAAGGCAGCTTTTCCCTTCCTCCTGTGCCTGCCAGTCCCCGGTCCTTAAATCCCCACCCTGATGTCCACGTTATGGTTGGCGTGTGGGCAGAAGGTCCGTAGGAATATTACGGAAAAGAAATCACAAGAAGACAGGCTGGGATCTGGGAAAGGAGAATTGGCTCGCTGCCCTCCAGGGTTAGAAGAGTCGGTGGGACGTCGCGGTGTCTAAGCCACTGCCTCCACGTAGAGCCTCAGGGAACCTGCCTGCCTTTGAAAGAAGAAAACCCATCAACTTCTTTGCAGCTTTGTTTTGCTTTCCTGGGGGACCCCAGGCTCCAATTTCCTTACCTATATAAAGAGGGAGAGGATCATTTGTGTGGTAAGGATTCTCTCTGAGGGGTGATGAGTGTCTGTGTAACGCGCCCAAATGAGAGTGAAGCTGGTTCCTGGAGCATGAGCTTTGATGCTGAGGACCACGCCCTCCCCTGCCAAGGCCTTGTGGTACCCAGTTCTCCCTATTCTCCCAGTCACCATTCTCCCTCAGTCCTGCCCCACATCTACCCTCAGAGGGTGGCTCTTCTCCCTCCAGAGCCTCACTCACATCCAGATTAACAGAACAAGAAGTGGCAAATCCCCATGCCTAAAAGATCCAGCCCTAGGGATGGAGCGGAGGGGTGCACGTCCTGAGTCCAGTCTCCCAGGGCGGGGACCGATGCTGACTGTGCAGTCATCACTCCGGGTGGGCGACTTTTGGAACCAGCTGCTTCCACCAGGGCCACGTTCAGATTGCTAGAAATAGAGACAGAAGGCTTCTTGTCTTTGCATATGATCTGCATAATGTCATAGACACACAAGTCTATTTTCAGGCAGCTTTCAGGTTAAAGTGTTGTCACTGCTGCCCTGCGGGTGTCACGTCTGGATGAGTCTCTTCTCTGTTCTTTTTCACCCACCCACTCTCACTGACCTAGATCCCC